TCATTGAGAATCTACAATACAAATAAGTGTAAAAAAGTGTCTCTAAACTTTTGACTAAACGTGCACTTTCGTTTTATTTTTACTGGGAGTTTAGTTGATGAAGTTCTGTTACTTATTTTTAGGGACGGGACAAGATCTCGTGCCACAAGATCTCGCGAGACAAAACTGCCACAAGAAAAATGATCTTGTGCGATTTTTTTTTTCACGGCTCACGTGTTGGTGAGTTACATCTCTTCCAGTTCTGAAAAGCAGGACTAGAAATTAAATAAATAACAAAACCATGAGGTCAAAGTTGGAAACTGAACAGTGAAATGTATAGATTAGGAATTATGTTAAAATCTCGTCTTGTCTCGTTCTCGTGGATCCAATCTCATATCTTGTTTCATCTCGTGGAAATTTTGTCTCGTCTCATCCCTACTTATTGTCCTTCATGTAAAAAAAAATAAAAATGTATTACTTATATTTGATACTTATATTTACATTTTCTTAACTCTATTCTTATTATTTTAAATGTATTCTTTTAAATTAAATACTGACTTAACTCTAACTTTAACTCTGTATTGTTTTAACTGAACTTTCTTTTCACTCTGTCCTTTTAACTCTATTCTTTCCTCTGTCTATTCTTTTGTCTCTTATTCTTTTAACTTAAATTCTGACTTAACTTTAACTGTATAACTCTATATTGTTTTACTATAATTTTATTTTCACTGTCCTTTTAACTCTGTTTTTTAACTCCACTGTTTTCTCTCTTATTCTGTATTCTTTTAACTTATATTCTGACTAAACTCTAACGTTAACTGTATAAATCTGTATTATTTTACCATTATTTTCTTTTCACTCTGTCCTTTTAACTCTATTCTTTTCTCTCTTGTTCTTTCTTCTGTATTCTTTTAACTTCTCACTTAACTCTAACTATATAACTCTATATTGTTTTAACTTAACTTTCTTTTAACTCTGTTCTTTTAACTCTATTCTTTTCGCTATCTATTCTTTTCTCTCTTATTCTTATGCTTTATTTTGTGTTCTTTTAACTTAAATTCTCACTTAATTCTAACTGTATAACTCTATATTGTTTTACCATTGTTTTCTTTTCACTCTGTTCTTTTAACTCTACTCTTTTTAACTCTTTTAAATCTTCTCTCTATCTCTTCTCTTCTCTCTTATTCTTTATTTATTCTGTATTCTTAAACTTAACTTAAATTCTCACTTAACTCTAACTATATAACTATATTGTTTTACCATTTTACCAATTTTCACTCTGTCTTTTTAAATCTATTCTTTAAATTTAAATTTGGACTTAACTCTAACTTTAACTGTATACCTTTATAACTTTATAATGTTTTAACTGACCTTTCTTTTCACTCTGTCCTTTTAACTCTATTCTTTAAACTCTATTCTTTTCTCTCTTATTCTGGATTGTTTTAACTTAAATTCTAACTTAACTCTAACTTTAAGTGTTCAACTATATTATTTAACTCTGTATTGTTTTAGTTAAACTTTCTTTTCGCTCTGTCCTTTTAACTCTACTCTTTTCTCTCTTATTCTTAACTCTATTCTTTGTCGTGATGAAAAAACAAAATTCTAAATCTGTAAAAGTGTGATTTTCTCTTCTTTTTTTGTGTTTATTTTAGAGCGTGTGATTAAAGAAAACAGAATGATCCCACTCTGTGTGCGCAGGCTCTGGGCGGGAGCTCCGACTCAGCGTGAGTGACACACACAGCTGGAGGTCCACCACCTGAGAACGCACACACGCACACAAAGACGCACACACACACACACACACACACACCATACACACACGTACACCCACACACTTAAAATTTCCCTTGTGGATCAATGAAGATAGAGATAGATGAATATAGTCTAAGTACACACATGCACACACAGATACACACACATGACACACACACACACACACACACACACACACACACACAACCACAGATACACACACAGATACACACACACACATGCATAATTTCCCTTGTGGATCAATAAAGATAAATAGAGATAGATGAATAAGGTCTAAGTTCACACATGCACACACAGATACACACACGACAAACACACACACACAACCACGGATACACACAGATACACACACACACAAACACACAAATAATTTCCCTTGTGGATCAATAAAGATAAATAGAAATAGACGAATAAAGTCTAAGTTCACACATGAACACAAAGATACACACACATGACACAAGCACACACACACACACAACCACAGAGACACACACACACACCCCTACACACACACAAACACACATGAACAATTTCCCTTGTGGATCAATAAAGATATATAGAGATAGATGAATAAAATCTAAGTACACACATGCACACGCAGATACACACATATGACACAAGCACATACACACGCAACCATGGATACACACACACACACACACACACACACACATATGACACAAGCACACATGCGCGTGCACACACATAGATACACAAACACATGCATAATTTCCCTTGTGGATCAATAAAGATAAATAGAAATAGATGAATAAATGAAAGTCTATGTACACACATGCACACACAGATACACACACGCACGCACACACATCACACACACACACAAACACATAATTTCCCTTGTGGATCAATAAAGATAAACAGAGATAGATGAATAAAATCTAAGTACACACATGCACACACAGATACACACACACACAACACAAGCACACACACACAGACACACACACATTCAGTCACACACACTTCATTTTTAAGAAAGTCCATCTCCAGTGTCTCCAGTCCAACAAGTGTACGGATCAGTTTCCACACTCAGTGACAAGTGCCAGAACATCAAGTTGAAGATCACATTTCAAACTTTTAAAACTCCATTTTCAAACTCTATTTTATCAATAAATAAAATAATTATAGTGAATAATTATAAAAGTGATGTTCTTCCAAATATGACTCATTTAGCACAGTAAGGAAAAGTCAGGAAAGGCTATTGTTTTAACCTGATCCCACACAAAATAACTTCTCCAACAAAAATAAAAGGTATCTGTGGTGCAGAGAAAGTTCCCACTGAGCGTGTGTAATCACTCACTCCGCAGCAGCAGCAGTCTGTTCTGTGTGTGGCCAGGTGCTAGCGGCTAACGTGCTAATGTTCTTCATTACTAAAGTAAACACGGACTCACCTGGGCCCGAGCCTGGTCTGAGCCTGGGAGCAGAGCGGAGCTGGACTGGGGCTGTGTGTGGAGCTTTAGGCCCAGACTCTGGGAGCAGAGAAGCATCTGCTAAAGTCATCGAGACTCATGTGAATCATTTCCTCTGCAGCCCACGGCATGTGGCACGGAGAGGAGCCATAACTCATGTGCACACGGCACTGAAGGAACAGACAGAGGAAAGCACCGGCTCTTTGGGATTATTATTATAAACAAACTCACATTTACTATGGGGGAAGTGTGACACGCTGAGGAGTTTATTGGACTTTTACACTCCACAACCCGAGCTTATCTACATATGTATCTTATCTACTCACTCAAAGTATTTCAAAGTATTTCACTGTTATCTTAGAAAGTGCAAAAAAGTGTATTTATCATCCGTCACACTTTCACATATGTGTAGTTTTACAGAAGAGGTTCCAGTGAAACAGTGAAGCATTTGTCACTGAATGCCTCAGGAGTAAAATAAGAATTATATTTAGTGTGAGTCGAGTAAAGAAATTCTTTTATCCTTCACAAACCTCTGCTGAAACTCTGTCTGCTGCTGTTTTTCATGGTCTAATATTGTGAGTTTTTGTAAAAGTAAATGTATTTTTGTGCTGTTGCCACTTGGCCAGACCAGTGTTATAAAAGAGAATATTTGTAATTCCAATAATGTTTAATCCTGGTTACATAAAACAATGTACGTCATTACATCAAATTCTATTTACGATTCGATGATTTTAGGAGCATGCTTCAGTAGCCTGATGTACTTACACAGGTCATGTAACCAAACTGGTTTTACAAATAAAGAGTGTGTTTAAATCCCCTCGCACTGCTGCCTTCTGTCTGTTCTTGTGTTTGGCGAATACGTTTAAATGTAGAACACGTATTTTCATCTCTTAAAGCTCCATAACGGCACATTACGCTCACGTTATATTTGCAACATCTACGCTTTAATACGCATTTTAAACGTAAGTCAAATAAACACGGGGAGTTCAATCTGCCGACGCTCCTGATGAACATTTGATTGGACTTTCTGCTGTGAATGACGTGTTTCATTTTAGATCCATTTCAAAATGTCTGATTTTATGGCGGCCGGGGACAGTTTTGTCTCAGTTAGTGGTGTCAGTGTCAGTTACTCAGTGTCAAAGGCAATGTGGGAGTGAATTATGGCCCACTACATTTATAACTTACATGGATAACTTAAGACGGAACTAAATCTATATTAAAAAAAAGATGTTGCGCCCAGTTTTACGATGATATCTGTTGGTATCTAGAGTAATTTTGTACAAAACTTGGCCCGTGCGTCTTCTGTTTTCTGCTCTGTTTTTAGTTCCATCACTTCCCCCGTACAGATTTCACAGAAGTAATTTAAAGAGAAACATATTTTGTCCTCGCTCCAACAGATCCATGTCTTTACTCCTAATGTTATTCCAGTTTTTTCCTTAAGTACCATGAGAAACAGAGTGCGCTCCCCGACCTGTCTAACTTACACACAGTTATTTAAAGGGGTCAAATCCGCAGAGAGCCCGTGACTGTGTGATTTAACCCCTGACACCTCTACAACCCCCCCCCCCCCCCCCCCCCCTCCTCCTGGAACCCCACTCGGCTCGTCCTCGCTCTCCCTAAAAATGAGACAGCACCTCCTCAGATGGTCAGCTCGGAGTCCCGCGTACAGTGGGCCTCTCCGTGACACTCTTTACGGCTCAGATTTATTGTGCTGTGCTTGTTGGAGGCTGATCGCATGTATGTGGTCAGTAGCTGCAGAGACTGGGACCCAGGGCCGGCCCCCCTCTCCTGTTACACCCTATTTATATCCTCCCCGCGCCGGGCTGCTCCTCCGAACCCTCCTTAAGCCTGCGGAGAGAGAGCTGACATCTGCATAGGCTCCGTGCACGTCCGACGCTGCCTGGATGCTATAACCTGAATAAGAGCGTTTGCAAAAGTTTCTCTCGTAACACTTGTTGATCTGAGGAAGCGTCGGGGAGAGGACTGGGAGAAGGTCTGGCTCAGGATTCATGTGGAAGATCTGGGACTTTTGAGGATTACCAACGGACATCATTTTCAGTGTTTTCTGTGACTTTAGGGATTGAGGATTTTGCAGCGTTTATTTATGTCTGTCATCCAGTCGTCCAGATGGATTTGAGGGTTTGAGGTTCAGCCTGCTGCAGTTTAACTCTGCATAAACTTCTGTCTGCCTCATCCAAAGGTTTGCAGTTTGCTTAGATTGTTGTTGTTTTTCTTTTTTATTTAGAACGTTTTCTGTGATACTGTTCTGACTTTAGCTTTAGTTGACATTTTCAGGTAACAGAATTTGCCCAAATCAAACATGACTTTCTTTAAGTTTTGTTCTTCGTCGTACACGGTTTGAGGCTCGCCCTGCTCCACCTGAACTTCAGTCTTCTTGACCACAACTTGGACCTCGGTTACAGGTGCTTCTGTGCTCTTCTTCAGTTAGTAAGATTTGTGACGAAGCGGTTTTGCGTGGTCACTTTTTGGAGGTCTTAGTCCCAGGCCCTGGTGCTGTGTGGAGGGACGCCGTCATGGACCACACGCTCTTCGGGTGCCTGAGGAGCCCCCACGGCCCGGGTCAGGCCTTACACCCGGCCTTCAGCCCGTCGTCCCTCGCACTGCACGGACGCTCAGATCATGTGTCTTATCCCGACCTGGCCTCGTCCTCCTCTTCCTCCTCCACACCTTCTCCGTCTCCCTGCGTTATCTCCGGGTATCCCCCCGAAGAAGGTCTGTACCACCCGCACCACCACCCGCACCGCTCCCACCTGCCCCTGCAGCACCACGCGCCCCCGCAGCACCACCCGGCCCCACCCTGGCACATCTCGCACCTGCCCGGGAACAGCAGCGTGAGCCGCCACAGCCTGCACCCCCTGCACCCGCAGGACTCCGGGCCCTCTCCTCAGGACATGAGCCACGGCGGAGGGCCTGCCATGTGCGCCAGTCCCCCCAACATGGGCAGCAGCACCCCCGGGCTGGGCAGCGGGACCCCCACGGGAGCTGAATATCGACACGGCCTGAGCTCAGCTGAGGCCGACAAGAGAAGCAAGAGGAAGAGCGAGAGTTCAGGTAAGAACCAAGAGTCTGAACAAAACACTCAGACAAACTATATATTTAAATAAGCACTTTTTTTTTTTAACTTTACCACGCTCGTAAAATATGTGTGTTCAAATCGGACTTTTTCATTTTATTGTAATTGTGTTTCCCCCCAAATTCTTTACAGCTCAGAGCAAGCACCTTCATTTATATCACTTCTCTACAAATGGTCTAATTAGGTAATAATATTTTAATAAGTTGGACGAAAATGGAGAAGAAAAACAAACGTTCCTTGTAAATTCCCGTGCAGTTCTATTGTCCGAGCGCGGCCTGGGCTGGGTCCCCGTCCTGGTGTTGTGATACTGAACACAGATGTGACGTTGCGCCGAGCTGCTGTAAAACCACATCTGCTTCAGTGTGACTCCGAGCCTCTAAACGAACACGCAGTAAATAACACAGGTCCACCACAGTCGACCTCAACGCCGCTACACACACACACACACACACACACACAAACACACACTCACACACACGCAAACTCACACACACAAAGCGCAGGTGCATGTTCTGCCCACACCTGTGAGTTATCGTACGTACACAAACACGGCAGACGATTTTAGCTGGAATTTTTGTCCCCTTTTGCGAAAAACCTGCATTAAAACGAGAAATCAGAAGTAAAACAATCCACAATTTACTTTAAAACTTCTCTAAAACTTTAAAACATTTCACAAATACACAGTAACTCCGCTATAACTATACTATAAACTAAAACCTGAATAAAAAGAAACACATTTTGTATTACGCAAAATGAGTACTGGTAAAAAACTAGTACTGGTGCTGGTATAAAAATCTAAAACAAATTTTATTTTTTTAAATTTGTAAATCACAAAGATTATATTTTCAGTTTCAGTCACTTAAAACCAGCGATAAATGATTCCAAATTCGGCTTCGTACATTTCAGTTTTGTTTCATTTCCGTTTTGTGTCAAGTGTTAATAACTGTCAGCAGAAAAAAAAAAAAACGCACTTCCGTACTTTCAAAAATATAATTCAGGTCCTATATTAGTAAAGTAAAGTACTACATATCTACATTTATCCTTCCAAATACATAAAGTACTCCTAAAGATACTCGCTTTTATACTGCAGTACAGTGTGAAGTCTCCTTTGCTGACCTGCACAGCATTTCCAACCCGCTCTCAGCGCCTTAATCAATCAGGACCTGACAGCGTGCCGGGGCGGGTGCGCGGGTGCCGGGGCGGGTGCCGGGTCGGGTGCCGGGTCGGGCCGAGGCGTTCCTGAAGGCAACCCGATCGGCCGGCGTTTTTCGGAGAAGGCGCGCGCTCCATTTGTGGAAGAAGAGGTGCTACGGGGGCAGGGAAAGGGCACAGCGCGTGGACCACCTGCACCCCTACACACACACACACACACACACGGACACACACACATTATTCAACAGACCACCTTAAGGAGACTAACAGGCGAGACCGAGCACGTGCACAAGCAGAACATATAGTGACAAATAGTAGACACTGTAACTAACAGATAAAGTATATTCACATGTGGAGAGACTTACGGGGTTAAAATACCAAATACCAACTGTTACTTCGTAGTAGTAGCTGCTTGTGTACCAGTGGTGGAACATAAAAGTAGTAGTAAAAGTAGTAAGTATAATTTTTAGGTATGTGGACTTGGTGGTGGATGCTTTTTACTTTTACTTCACTGCATTTGAGAGCAGATATTTGTACTTTCTACGCCAATCTACGCTTTTGAATTAGACTGAAAAGTAAAAGGATTTGGATTATTGTATGAAAACTGCTGAAAATATGGCGGGGTATTTTTAAAACGTTCATAGTTTGAGCAAACAAAAATAAACAAATAAAAACAGCCAAGGAACAAACTCTAGTCTTTTCAAATCTGAAGCTTGTAAAACAGGTGCTTTCAAATTTTTACACCAATTTTTACACAAATATTAGACTTGAGTATATTTTTTGCTTCACTACCTGTACTTTTACTTAAGTAACAAAACTGAGTACTTCTTCCACCACTTCTGCATGGAAAGTTTATACATGTTTATATGGATGGCAATGATTGGATTTAAAAATATTTTTGATTTTGGAATAATTTAGCAAATTATACTCGTATTTCTAATTACCATTTTAGTTAGCGATGAAACAATCTGTTTTTTTTATTTTTCACGACCAGTTTTTTTCATATGCAGAGCAGCTCATCGCCGATAAAATTTGCCAATGTTTTGACACCGATGTGTAAAAATTATTTGGATTTTTTTTTTCTAGATAACACAATTTGACTTTTCTACAAATTTTGTTATGCTACATACGAACAAAAACGTCTACCAATGAATTTCAGATAATTTTAGATACTTTCAGATAATTTCAGATGCATTCAGATAATTTCAAGTAAATTTCAGATAATTTCAGATTCTTTCAGATAATTTCAATTCAATTTAAGATAATTTCAGACGCTTTCAGATAATTTCAAGTAAATTTAAGATCATTTCAGATGCTTTCAGATAATTTCAAGTAATTTAAGATCATTTCAGACGCTTTCAGATAATTTCAAGTAATTTAAGATCATTTCAGATGCTTTCAGATAATTTCAGACACTTTCAGGTAATTTCAAGTAAGTTCCAGATGCTTTCAGATAATTTCAGATGCTTTCAGGTAATTTCAAGTCAGTTTCAGATACTTTGAGATAATTTCAGATTCACTACAAGCCTAAATCAGTGTAGTTATATTTTTGCAAAGCTCCTTCTACTTTCTGTATTTCCATCAGCCGCAAACTCAACAGATTCTTTCAGGCCATTTCATTAAAAAAATTAATAATTACAAGTAAAATTTAATATTATGGCAGTGTGATTCCAGCTCCCACAGATGAATGCTGTTATTGTGTCCTTGGGCAAGACACTTAGACTTAGACTCAGACGAACTTTACTGATCCACAAGGGAAATCCTTTGGACGCAGTATATTATAACAACGACGAGAGAAAATATCAAGGGTAACAATAATTTAAAACAAGTAGCAAAAACATATGTACAAATAAAAATATACGAGTAAAAATAAAATAAAGAAAGAAATACAAATATATCTCAGCTGGTCGTAAGGAAAAACAGACAATAACTAAGCCCCCCTTGCCGTTTTTGTGTCCTTGGGCAAGACACGTTTCATTTAAAACTTAACAATAACAAGTCAAATTTTAATATTACAGATAAATAAAAACGGCGTCCACTTTGCGTGGCTGCGTCTGTGCAGATGAGATTACCAGAGCACACACTGTACTACGCAGGACCAGTGTGCAACGTAATGAAGTAAAAGTAGTGAAGTACTGTACACATTTGAGGTATCCTTCCTGCTGCTGTCAGACTGTACAACAAACACTGCTAACACTGAACATGTGCCATTCAATTATATCCATGTGCAATTATTTTTAAGTCTATTTTTAAATTATTTTTAAGCTATTATTTATTATCTGTATGTTACATTTTCCTGCTGTTCTGAAATTGCGCGTTGCAACACTGGAATTTCCCCACTGTGGGACTAATAAAGGCATATCTTATCTTATCTTATCTGTACTTAAGTACATTTTGCTGCAGATACTTTTTAATTTTGCTTCACTACATTTGAGAGTATGTATCTGTGCTTTTTAAAGTACGTGTTTTAGGTATCCATAATTTATTCAAGTACATTTTACTGTGGATACTTTTACTTTTGCTTCAGTACATTTGAGAGCAGGTAGCTGTGCTTTCTAAAGTACGTATTTGATGTATCTGTCTTTTACTTAAGTACATTTTACTGCAGATACTTTTTACTTTTTCTTCACTAGATTTGAGAGTATGTATCTGTGTTTTCTAAAGTACATATTTTAGGTATCTGTACCTTACTTAAGTACATTTTACTGCAGACACTTTTTACTTTTGCCTCGCTACATTTGAGAGCAGGTTTCTGTGCATTTTAAAGTTCACATTTTAGGTATCTGTACTTTACTTTAGTACGATTTACCGCATGTACTTTTTACTTTTGTTTCACTACTTTGAGAGCAGGTATCTGTGCTTTCTGAAGTATATATTTGAGGTATCTGTACTTTACTTAAGTACATTTTATTGCGGATACTTTTTACTTTTGCTTCACTACATTTGAGAGCAAGTTTCTGCGCTTTGTAAAGTACATATTTTAGGTATCTGTACTTTACTTTAGTACGTTTTGTTGTGGATACTTTTTACTTTTGCTTCACTGCTTTGAGATCTGTGCTTTCTAAAGTACACATTTGAGGTATCTGTACTTTATTTAAGTACATTTTAATGCGTAAACTTTTAACTTTTGCTTCGCTACACTTGTGAGCAAGTATCTGTACTTTCTACTCCACAAAATTTTTGAACAAGACTGAAAAGTAAAAGTACTCTACTGAAAAGGCTTTATTTTTGACATATTCATAATCTGGGGAAACAAAAATGTACAAATAAAAACAGTAGAAAAAAAATACAAATTCTTTATCAAAATCACTACATTTGAAGCTTTATTGAACCTCAAAATCTGTGTGAAATACTTTTACTTTTAACATTTTTAAACAGATACTTTAATACTTTTATTTAAGCAGACTTCTTCATGTGATACTTTTACTTGAGGATTCTTATCTGCTCCGTTTTCTGTACTTTTACTTCAAGTTGTACTATGTAACTTTTGGTTAGGGGTCTAGCACCTTCTCGTTTCTATGGAGATGTCACTGCTCTGCCTGGAATGTTCCACAGTATGACATTAAACAGCTCTAACTTGACATTTACTCAATTACAGGTGGTTTTATAGCTCAAAAATACCTTGAAGAACAGACATTTTTACTGTCAGCGGGGTCACCTCTCCACAGATCTGACCTGGTCTGGTTAGGTCTACGTGAAGATAGATTAGATTAAATTTAATACCATACTGTGAAACATTCCAGACAAAGCAATAACATCTCCCACCCTCCACCAGAAAAGGTACACAATGCACCTTTAATAACAAAATCAAACGCAGGACATCATG